ATGTGTTTTTTGAGTAATGAATCTCTGTACGGGTTCGGTAGATTTGACCGATCTTGTAACCACCATAAAAAATTAGGAAATATAAATTGTGCTTTTTTTGTTCTAGAATGACAACAAATTATAACACAAAAATATAAATGTTTAAACTAAATAGCTTAAATCTCATAATATTATACATATATTTATTATTTTTATTATATTGACCTTTCAGCGTGTCTGGCTAACAATACAGAAGTTACAATGATGTGGCACACATGCTCTTATGTTACTGTATCCAATAACATAAAACTGACCTTTGGTCTTTACAAAGTGACCTGTCTTGGCTGTGTTTTAGTAGACTAATATTTTGTAAAATACAGTCACATTCCCATTATTATATATGTATATAGATTATTGCTATTTAGAAATAAGTTCTTAAACTTATTTTTCTTAAAACAGAACAGTAAATAAAGAAGTAAAGCAAACAATTATCTCATCTAGTTACGACCTTTGTACTCAGCTTGATATAGGTTGCTAAGTCTTAACATTTTGTACGTGGAGGATATGAAATGAAATAATTTTCCAATTTAGTGAAGATTCAGGTAAAGATCAAAACAAGGTGATAAAACCTTAGCTGGGTTATATGTTGCTAGTAGAGAAGATATTTGTTAATATTTTCTGCCACAGTTAAAAGTCCTGATTTATTTTTAAGTTTGCTTTATCATATTATACTTCATTTGAATTATGATGTTGGAGTATAAGTTGTTTGTTTGTTGTTGTTTTTTAACAAGATGGGATAGGCTTTTTTCTGACAAGGCTAAGGTTGTTAATGTGTGTTTACGTTAGGATTTGTTAACCTAAATAGCTTCTAGAATGGACAAAGTAAATATAAAAAAAAAGACATTCAAGTTAATATGAAGCGAGTTAAAAACTTGTTATATGTTTTACAAGAATGTGGGAAGACAAAATTCATAAATTGAGATTTATATTAACATTTTCAATGTTTTGAATTCATACAAATATAAGAAACATTTTATTTTTGGAAGCAATATAACCTGCAGAAAGTTCATCTCATATTTCAAACTATTCTATTGAGAACTTTATTTTTAAAGTGCAATAATACAAACTGTAGAACGGGTGTACCAAATACCCATTTTTTTAGAGTTAATAAATCAACTGTATCTTTAAGATATGATTGTTTATATTTGGTTATTTAATATAATTTGCAACATTCAACAAACATTTGCTTGTTTACATTGAAGAATTTTAAAGAAACATGAACTTGCTACACCACAGTATTTCAGTTTATAGCTATTCATAAAGTTTTTAGATATTGAACAAGAGTGATAATTTAGTGATTTTCCACCTTCTGTGTTTAGGACTGCGATAATCCAAACTATCACATATTTTCAGTGGATGTGCTTTACTGGATCATTATGAAATTCTCCAAATTAAAGAGCACTTAGGATCACATGATATTAACATAAATAATGTTGCATAATATGGCTGTACATATTGCATGGGGGTGATGACAAGAAACTGTTTATCCAAATTCCATGGCATTACTATAAAGGAAACTATTAACACTGTTTTAGAGAAGAAAAACTACCGCCATATATTTTAAGGAATCTCGCTGGTTCTGTAAAGTATGGGTCTGTTCTGAATAATAAGGTTGCAATCCTAAAGCTGATAATGTTGGTTACTCTAGAGTTTCACTTTCTTACTTGTTGTGGTTTGTTGGTGTGTATTGACAAAAAGGTGTGATCAAAGTCACACTAAAAGGAATGAAATGAATATTGGCAGGGAAACTGGTAGCTACACTTAACAGTGTTGATAAGAAATTTACAGCAAATATCTGTTCATTAGTTAGCTAAGCCACATTTTTTTTTTTTTACCCACCATCATGCCCCAAGTTGAACAAAAAATGTTGCCTGGATAACTAATGAATGACTATTTGCTGTAAAATTCATATTATTGCTACCAGTTTGGCCTCATCTTTTTTTTTACACTTGAGGTGTTTTTGATTAGATAGTATATGTGAGAGTTCGAGCAGTAAAATGTCAGAATTAGGATTTTCGCACCTGCTAAATTGATAAATATGTTTGAATTATTTTTGTATAATAGAAAGGTGATAGAGCTACAAACCTAAAAAATGTAAATGTTCATAGACTTAGGTGACAAACGTACAAGTGTATTTTGAGTGCAGAAAGTGATATATTTCTAGCTCATAACCCTGATGCAACAGAAAATGTTAATTATTTCAGAGCCAAGTAATGGCATAATATTTTTTTTTATTTCACCATTCAATTATTTTATTCACTCAAAACATGCATAAAATATAGTAAGAGGACTTTACAAAATGTAAGTCTGCTAAAAATAGTGAAGTTGACATCTTTTAAGAATGTTGTGGTCTTTCTTTTAATGAGGTATTTGGTTTTAGAAGCTCTTGAGTTTTAATGGTGATTTAAGACAGATGAAAAAAAATAAGTTAGTGTATTAGTTTTAAACCAAGTAAATCTGATTTATTATTGTGATTTTCTAGCAAATTCGAGTGGTTCTAATTACCTGTCTTTTGTTCTACAGATAGCGTATGCCAGAATTGAGGGGGATGTGATTGTGTGTGCTGCATACTCTCACGAACTCCCTCGATACGGCATTAAGGTCGGGTTGACCAATTATGCTGCATCGTATTGTACTGGACTTTTGCTAGCTAGGAGAGTAAGTAGCTTCTTTATTTTTGTATAAAGTTCATAATCATGTGATCAAACTGTCATACAGATCATATGAAATTTTGTAATTTTACATGTTGAAACTGTTTAAAAAATTAAAAAATGCTAGATCAAATTATGTTATTTTTTAAAGCCAAAACTAGATGGTGATAAAATTCATTTTATTAAACAGTTACTTAAAAAGCTTGGAATGGATGAGATCTACAAGGGCTGTGAGGAAGTAACAGGAGAAGAATATAGTGTCGAAGATATTGATGGACAACCTGGTGCTTTCCGTGCTTACCTCGATGTTGGTCTAGCTCGTACTTCCACTGGTGCTCGTGTGTTTGGAGCAATGAAAGGAGCCGTTGATGGAGGCATTGACATACCTCACTGGTATTGAATACCTTCACAGAGTTTAAGTTGTATAATAAACCAACTGTTGGGTGTTGATTGTAAATGTTCTATAAATTTTACTCAAATGCAAGTCAGAAAGTAGTAAACCAAATACTGTAAAGATGAACAGTATTTCATTAATCGGTTGTAAATCTTTGTTTTGAATATAACCTTTTGGTTAAAATAATTGGTAGTTTAGAAAAAAATTCATTACACATTTGGTGTTTGAGAGAAATATGTATAGCAACTAAAAAATCCATAAATAAGAGATAAGACACCTTTTTAGGATCACTTGCATGCTTCTTCAACATATTTTTTCTAACTCTTCAGTTATTCGTGTGGTATACTTAGTTTATCTGTTATTTCTGACCATTTTTCTGATTTAGGCTGGTTTCCAAGAATATCATCACTTGTCATTAACTTTTGGCTAAACAAGACAAATATGAACTCTTTCCATACAGTCACTCTTCTCTGTGCATGTACAAGGTTTTACTAAGTTTCATTCAAATTTTAACTAAAATGCTTTATTATCATGGGTATACGAATAAACTTAGTATCAAAATGTATCCAATAATCCAAATTTTGATAATACAAAAGTTTTATGTTCTTCATTTTATAAGGCAATATTTAAAATAATTCTTCAATTTCCCCTAGTATGAGAGTTGCGACATTTGCTCTCTAGGTCTTCCCTATTCTCTAATTTATTTACCTCCCATCCAAGAAATATGGAATTTAATGTAAATTACTTATTATAATACTGTTATTACTCAGGCAAAGCATAATTTTTATAGCTTTCGATCTTATTTGGTTATAGAGTCATAAACTGGAAAATCGGATCCATTTTGCCAAACCAATCTGTCAAATCGTCTCTTTCACAACTTTCCAGTAGTTCTCTGTAACATTTAATACTATATAACCAATAGAAAACCAAAGTTGTTTTCTGTACAGAGAATTGTCTGTTTCGCATCCAGTTCTAACTTTATTCCCATAGGAAACAACCAATGAGCTCAGCTGAATTTTTAATGGACATTGTCTGCTTTCTATGTGTCATTATGCTGTGTTCTTAGGT